CTCTGAGGAGGAAATGACTTTCAAAAATGTAAGCAGTATAATTAGCTTAGTTCCTTTGTGAGATGAATGATGATTTTGGTCTCGTCTGAAAAAATGCAAATAAATGTACAGCCTATGCCATAAATAAATCATGAAACTGGCTGCGTTTTTCAACACTGAAAACTTTAACCAAAAATGTAACACAACTTTTAAAGAATTTACTAGCTTATGAAATTTCAGATCTACTGTACCAAACATGAAAACCAGTGTGTTTCTATTTGAAAAACCTCATCAGGTAATCATAACATTCATGGTACTCTGTACTGCTATAGGGGGAAAAAAAGTTGGAAATGTTTGTTGGTGCCCTGGAAAACATTTAGAGGTATATAAATAGACCCAACTGAAGATTATCCTTCCAGTACTAAAGGATATTCGAGAGATGTTCCTATGTTTCGGGAAAGTTAACAGTAGCAAATAACTCTTATTCTAGAACATGGTATGAAATTTCTAGTCCTGCTGTCATTTCTACAAGGTTAAGAATCCAGAGGGAAAGGAAGATAGAGAGACAGAATGCATAAAATCTCAGACATTAGAAAATGACACAGAAGCCTACATATTACCTGTACTGTGTGCACAGCTATGCATACACCTTGATGACATGCTAACATAGCCCTTCAAAGACTTTTGGGCCCCTGTTTCCCTAGGTATCCTTTGTAACATGCAAATTTGAGAGGTGTGTACCAAATTATGTATTATGTACCAGGTTTATGTATGGTACCTGTAATTTTTCTAGGACTACTCCAAAACAGAGTGGCTCTAGCAGAGCTTAATGAATTAATCTAACTGTGACCTAAGATATAGAAAAAAATTTTTAACATTTATTCACTTTTTGAGAGAGAGGGAGAGACAGAGCAAGAGCAGGGGAGGGGAAGAGAGAAAGGGAGACACAGAATCCAAAGCAGGCTCCAGGCTCTGAGCTTTCAGCACAGAGCCCGATGTAGGGCTTGAACTCACGAACTGCGAGATCATGACCTGAGCCGAAGTTGAACACTTAACTGACTGAGCCACCCAGGCGCCCTTGGCCTAAGATATTT